GAAGTGAATTTTTTTTTTTTTTTTTTTTGGAGTACTAATACTTTGCTTGGCGATGATTTGATGAATTGTATGTTGCATTATACAAGTGCAAAAATCTCTATATAAAATCTTAGGAAATTTAATTGATATGAAATTCTGATTTTAATTAACAAAGTTTTAAAAGTTTGTGTATAAAATTTAATATTTAAAATAATTTCTTTTTTATCGAGGAAAAATCTATCTAAAGTTTCGATATTTTCTCAGTGCTATGAATCAATTTCGATTAAGAAAATCTTTCATAACAAATGGAGTATTAAAACCTGAACGTTTTTAAAGTTCCATTATAAAGTTATATTTAGAGAAATGAAAATGGAACTTTAAATATTGATTATTCTTTCAAAGTAATATCCTTTACTCAAAAATTACCTCGTGCAATATAATATTGTATATAACGTTAAAGCACAAGTAAAATATATAAAATTATTTTCATGATTTATACAATTTCAAAACACGTACTTGATAGAAAAGAATTTAGATGAAAATAAACATGGTCTAAAAAAACGGAATAACATCGAATAATATAATATCGATCGATCGTCCAATCGAGTGAAACAGAGACGATGATTCAATCGATTCAAAGAAATTAAAAAAGAAAATCGAAAATAACCTCGTGAAAATTATGTTCCAGGGTTCACGGCGCAAGATGCACACGATGTAACATTCAACAAACGCCGGTAGACAATGTTCCAAACTATACAACATACATTTTGACAAGTTCCAGTTTCGCTTCGCAAGCAGCCGGAAATTGAACGTACGTACACATGCTCCTCAGGAATCTCGTTTAATGAAATGTCAATATCCATGACCGAGGCTTTGGTCTTGTAGACCGGCTGTGTTTCCTGTATCCACGGCGGCGAGCCAGATTCCGCGATGGTAGTTTTACCGCGCTTTCAAGACAAACCCTGAGACGATGAAACGGATTTACACGGTGAGGCAGACACGGTTCACGTCACCCTCAAGTGGCGGCCATGATACTTTCAGTAGTTCATCCTTCTTTGAATTAAATGTTCCAAATTCTAAGTGTGCACTGGTGTTAACTAGTGGGATACTATATAATATATGGTAATTTTTATTGGTGGCAAGCTCTTTATTGTTTAATTAATATGAGATGATCTTTTAGATAAAATTATCATGTAAAAAGAAAATAAGATCGTCCGAATTGAAAAATCCATGCTGTATCTATATCGAATATATACATGTTTGAACATCTTTGGAGGAATTCTAGAAGTCAAGGCAAGTACAGAAGTTCGTACATATATATATATATACAAAAATATCAATTGAAACTTCATTAAGTTACGAGCAATTTAAGTTTATGTCAAATGAAGTTAGATAGGGATAGAATATCTTATCTCCATCACACCACCATCTTGTCTCATCTAATCTAAACTTTAATTGCTCGTAATCTACAAACAAGATCTCTACAGATATTTTTCTATATCAAATGCTTTTCGTTTTAATCTCCAAAATCAATCCTTTAAAGATATTCACCATTAACATCCTAGTTAGTACAAACCGGAAGCAATCTACCCACTCTCTGTCATCATCGCTCTCGGCTTCCATTTCCAGATCCATGGTAATTTCGTAATGAAATTGTAACGAAGAGAGGGGAGTGGTGTGAGAGTAGATTAGAGAATCTTGATAGAACGGCTTGAATTCTGAAATAACTTTTCGATGGCTGAAGGGTCGCTCGGGTTCGGATTACACACGGAATCGAGAGTAACGAGGCTAATTTGCTTCTGTATCACTCGAGGCGGAGGTTTTGATCGTCGTCGCAATTTTTATTATCGCCACGACTCCGCTCCCTCTTCGATTCGTTCTCTTTCCCGCGGAGGCGGGGGAGAATGAGCGACGGCGGAGAAAGAAATAACCCGCTAAATTTGTCTTTCTTTTCTTCATCCTCTTTGGAGGAAGGGAGGAAGGAAGGGAGAGACGTTTACGTCGATAATGATTGTATTGCTTGGTTCCGCCGAGATTGGCGCGCGTTGACAAATAACGCCAATCGCTTCTCACCCCACCCTTTCGCCGAGGATTATCCGATGGCAATCGTGGACAATTTTCGCTTTATTTTTATCGAGGGATGCGCCTTAATTTGTTCTTTCTTCTCTTGGTAGGGACGAAGAAAAGTCTGGAAATAAAGTGCTTCGATAATCGCGTCGAGAATCTGATTCTGTGTATATAGTCGTCAATATATAGTCGTTTATTATTTATGATTATGATAAGGTAAAAAAACGTTAAATATCGATTCTTCAAGAAAATTACAGGAACGAGCTATCGTGTAATTATGATAAGAGTATATAATATAGCTCCAATTTAAAAATATTTCGAGTTTCAATTTTTGAAAAATTGTTTGTCATTATTTTGTATTTCCAACATTAATTTAAAATACTCGAGTTAGATGGGACGAATATAAATTCTGCTATACAATGAATATAAATATATAAACGATTAATTTAATTTAAGAGAATAAGAATTGCAGAAAATTTTTTCGATAGCCAAGAATCTTCAGAATTCTACACGAACTTGATAAAAGGATACACGATAGAACAAAGTGGATGGAAAGGTAAAGACGACAGAGAAAAATTATAGAGCATCGTTTAGATACCGATATTTGATATATTGGTCGAATAAACTATAACTAACTGGTATATTATAAATATAGGGTGAGAGAGAGATCGGTTTTCGACGAGGTCAGCGGTGAAATGAATTAAACGGACCGTTTTCCGCATCAATGTTGCTTGTATATCGGAAATTTAATGGGTCACTGGTATTCACCACGACCTAATTGTACCGATCCGGACGATTAAGCGGTGGAAAAATGTGATTTCACGGTAATTGAAGGTACGCGGACTTGGACAAAACGTGCACGCCTTATTTTTCAATTATTGCGCATTAATGATGCACTACGTTAATTCGATCGAGCACGATGACGTTGTTTGGAATAAACGCGCCAAAATATTCCCGATGAAAATCGAATAATATCTGCAAACTATAACGAACGATTAAATTCACCTCGCGTTTTCGGATTTTCGGATCGGAAATTAGATATTTGATTCAAATTAAGAGATGAAGTTGTCACTTGTTTTTTCAATTATCCAGGTACGTATCAATATTATATAAATAAATCGATATATTAATTTTTATATAATCCTACAATAATCGAAATTATAGAATTGAGCCATATTCGAATCTTCGAATCCAGAATTATACACCGAAGAACCGAATCGTCGAATTAATCGATTAAATATTTCAATTTTTCTCCATTTTTATCGATTTCCATCATTCCATATGAGCAACAAGATCCTTTCACCTTGGACTATTCCAACCCTTTGACCTTTAAGCGTACCATAATTCCCCTCCACGACCGTGAAGAAACCGTTCGCCTCGAGTCTCCGCACCTTGCTATATTCCGTATCTATCCCTGTAACCCGAAGATATTCTCACACGATCGTAAAAAAAAAAAAAAAAAAAGAAAGGAAGAAGAAAGAGAAAGAAAAATTCTGGGAGGGGTTTGCAGGTGAGAAAGAAACGATCCGTCTCTCGACTCGCGACGCAGAGTGACTCGGTGCCCTTAAGGGTTCGAATCCTTCTCGTTCCTCTCTCCTCCTTGATTCCTACATCCGTTCAATTCTGCCGCTCATCCCCGGGGGCTGTGTAACACGTGCGTGGCACGGGAAGACTGTCTGTAGGAGGGTGGAATCGGCGGCGGCGGGTTGCGAAGCGGAGGGTGGTGGAGGGAGCCGCGCAAGAGTAACTGCTAGTAACAATGTTTTCTCGCCCTTTTGCGTTTTAGCGGCGGGTAGAGGGTGAGGCGAGCCGCCACCCTCCTCGTTCTTCCCCCTTCGCGCTACCCCGCGTACGAAGCGAAGCTCGGTTATACACCCTCCGCAATCAATTTCGTCAATACCGCTTGTTGCGGAGGGGTGGCCGTGCTGTCTCGCCCGCGGCTCCCTTCAACCCGCCCCGCGCCACTTCATCCCTTCTCTGTGTCGCTCTTCTCAGGAGAAGGGTCTGTTGATAGATTTTTACGTTCGAACCGCGCCACGACCATAAAGTCATCCGACTCCTTTTGTCTTGTCTTTTTTCGACCCGATTTTCTTTCTGATTTCTCGTCGATCGATATCCACGTTGCTCTTTTGTCCGCGTTGGGCGTGATTTAAATCTGAATACTCTCTTACGCGCTGTTTATTCGTGAATATGGGAGTGGTGATCCTCGTGAAATTTAGAATCGAGGAGAACGAAGAATATATAGAAACGTATGATAAGCGTTCGCACGGATAAAAAGAGTTCAGTATGCAGTATATCGAATACGTTAAATTTCTAATTGTGAGAGTAAGTGTCGAGAAATTAATTTCTAAGTGTCGAGAAATTAATTTTCGGCTAGAATATTCGAAAATTTCCCTTTCGATGATTAGTGCGCGTATAAAATAGGAGATGAAGGGAAAGGATGAGGTGAGAAACGAAATGGAATATGTCAAGTGTGCGTCGAGGAATATTCGAGCAGAATGATTCGATCGTTTATTAAGGTTCGTTTCACAAATATTGTTTCAAAGTTTTGAAGCGGGAGGGAGGGAGGGAGGTTAATCCTGCAGGACTATCTAACGATCGAAGATCTTGAGATACAACGGTTTTCAGTGAAATAACAAGCCTCCGGGCATCCGTGACCCTAACGTTCATTCGCGTATTTCGTTCTTCCTCTTCCCCATATAATTGGAGTCCATGATTCTGTGCAAATATCACGTAACCAAGCAAACAATAGCTCTGCGAGGCATAGACTATACAAACAAAATAAGAATGTCTATCGGGTGGAGCGGAAACGGATCGTAAATTGGACAGCGGTATATTTAACGGAAATACGTATTCCTCGATGTTTATTAACAACAAGAGGAGGGGGAGGAGGGAACTAAAAAGTGGAACAAATTTTGTTCACTTCCTTTCCTACGTCGTAATGATAAATACGGCCAAACTCGTCTCGCGATTAAACCGGCCGACAGACGGATCGATATTTCAAAAATCCAGCGGAGAAGAAGGTTACAATACATCCGGCATTTAAGTATTTCCGCAAAGGTTCGGGAATCACAATATCCACGGCTTAAGCCCGTTTCTCGAACGCCACTTCTGTCGGTGGATCCTTTCTCCGCCGATCCTCCCACGCCTCCCTCCCTCGCTTCGATATAAATATCGATTACCTCGGTTATCCGGATAATCCTTACAGATTGAAATTACCATTCGTACCCGTGGTGCCTGTAACACGAAGGTATGGGATGTGTAGCACGCACCACCTCGTCGTTTTTTCATTTTCCTTCTCTCGTATAATCTTGCTTCTTGTATCTCTTTTCTTTCAGTCGATTTTTAATTACGGGGAATCTCGAACGAAATTTGGCATTCGTCTGCGAATCGATTTGATGGGAGATGAACAATTTCGAGATGATAATTAAATTCCTCGTTTATTTAAAATGATCAACGTTCAAGCATCAAATCAATTAATCTTACATATAATGACGTTATTGATGGTCATGAAATAAATAAAGAGATTCGTATGTGATCGAAAACCTTCACCAGAATCTTATTCATCAAAAAATCAAAATAATAATGACGATGATGATTCTATTATTCACTTCTGTTATCTAATAATTCGTATTCACCGCGCATTCATTTTATCGATTCACAATACGATTCGATAAATATTTGAGCGCATTCGACGAATCTCTACGTGTGCGCGTTACGTTCTTCTTTTCTACCTCGATGTGCTGTGCCTCGCGCGAAAAGTTCCTCTCGGAGAAGAAGAAATCTTACGTTATCAAACGTTCAAACGTGTTCCATCCAATTCGTGAAACGGTCTTGATCGACGTTGTGTTTATCTCCAAAGTGGGAAAAGATTGGACGCGAAATATGGCCTTTTTTTTTCGACGAGCGATCAGAGGAGAAGAAGGAACGGCTCGTCGCTAAGCCTCGATAATTTTAGTTACGACAGCAACCACCCTCTTCTGCCCGCAATTTTCTGCAGGTTGATTCTCCTTTAATAGACCCCGTTAGTTCACGTTACTCTTCCACTCTGGTACGCGATTTAATATTTTTATTCCTCCTCCTTTGGCGCGACGAGACACGAGACCCGTCCTTTATGTACAGGCGTGGAACATTGACACGTACATACACGAAGCTCGTAGTTTTTTGCGCTTGAAACGCTCGCGAGATGGAAGGGGATGAAATGAGAGAGAGAGAGAGAG